ACTAAGTAATGAGATGAAGTAAGTGATAAGATGAACTAAGTGATGTGACTTTTCGTGGTAAACTACCGGTACAGGATTTTTACATTTTTTTAACCAGCCGTGTTACCGACACTGTTCAGAAAAAGTTTTACTGTTCATATTTGTGTTTGTTACTGGTATATATTGTAGCATTCTGCTGTGGTTGACTGTCGGTCACATGGCCCCAGAGGGTTTATGGGTAAAATGTATGTTTTTTGATAATCATTTTGGTAAAACATTTATTGGTCTTTTAGTGATTAGTCTGTTCTTAGCCTAGTTCATGTGTTCAAACATGAACTCCCGTGGCTTATACTTGGGTTCGCTCTATAGATCAGTAATTACAGTAAACTTATAACCAAGTTTGTTGCCATGACAACAGATCAGCTCCACAGAAGGAGCTACAGCCACAGAAAGAGTTTAAATAAAGCTTTGATTGTACAGGATGAAGATCAGCTCAGAAGGAAACATCTGAAGTTCTGGAGGAACTGTCGGCCTGTAGGAGAAAATTTAAAGATCAATAGTTTCAAACTTTTATTCTCTGAAGGAATCCAAACTCATGAAGAATTTACAGAAGAAAAATATTTATATCTCCAAACATTAGAGCAGATCCAGGACAGGAGTTTCTGGTTCCTCAGAGCTCTCGGGGGATGACGGTGAAGGTCCGAACGGGGCAGGATGCCTCCAGCTCCAGTGCCGTCAGGAAGCAGTCTGGAGCCTGGCTGCACCTCAGAGCCTGCAGAACTTCGCCCAGCCCACTCCACGCTTCGTGGGAGGTGCTGTGGATTTGAACTGCGTCCCGCAGAACTTTCTCACCCAGGTGGACACGCCCTCTTTTGACCAGCAGACGACCCTAAATACACAAAACAAACTGATTTCAGTAAACTGGACTCATTTTGTGAATGTGCAGCAGCATGATGGATTTATCAGTTGAAGATCTGATGTCAAAGGTTACGACTTTGTCTCACAGGAACAAAGTCTTCTGTAAATTTCAGCCCACATCCTGGAGAGAACTTTCTAATCTCTTTGAAACCACATCTAAAGAGGCCTTCGTCCTGTAACAGTGACAAGAACAACAAAGTTCCAACCTGCTATGAACTGATCGAGGAGTGAAGACGTCTTTAGATAAAAGACGAAATGTTTCAACAAGAAGAACCCTGAAAGGTTAGAGGACCTGACTCCAACTGGTTAGAAGAGAGATGAGTCTGGTGTGAGGGGAGCGTCTCATCCTGGTCCTTGGAGCATCGCAATACTGACAATGGACTTGTGTCTCCACTGGTCCTGTTAGACCTCAGTGCTGCATTTGATACAGCTGATCACAATATTTTACTACAGAGGCTTGAATATGATGTTGGGATTACAGGAACAGCTCTAAAATGGTTTAAATCATATCTATCTGATAGATTCCAGTTTGTAAATGTAAATAATAAATCCAAAAAAGTTCAATCTGGTCCTCTGGACATTCAAAAAAACAAAAAGCAAAAAAAAATTCTAGAAACGTTTCGTCTCTCATCCTGAGGACTTCCTCAGTCTGAGGTGCTGTTTTCAGCTCAGTCTCTTAAATAGCACCTTCTCAGAGTGGATCAACCAGTTTGCTGCTGACAACCAGAACCAGCTGATCACATGCTCAAGAAGGACCATCAGCCTAACAATGGATCATTAGCACCTGATGGCTGTTTACTGTTCACAGAGGGCTGAGTGATACTAGCAATCACAGCATTGTAAGAGGGGGACAGTTGAACCTGGAGGCTCCGCCCCTGTTTAATGATGGACGGTTTCTTTTCACAAAGATGGCCTCCTTTACTCCTCTCTCAAACCATCGTTCCTCTCTGTCCAGGATGTGAACATCTTCATCCCTGAAAGAGTGACCGCTGGCCTGGAGATGAGTGTAGACCTCAGAGTCCTGGCCTGATGATGTTGATCTTGATGTTGAATTTTTTTTTGCTTTGTTTTGCTTTTGTTTTTTTGAATGTCCAGAGGACCAGATTGAACTTTTTTGGATTTTTCTACCTGGATTATTGAGCATGCATCAAGGTAAATAATAAATCTTCTTCATACACCAAAGTTAGTCATGGAGTTCCTCAGGGCTCAGTACTTGAACCAATTCTCTTTACCTTGTATATGCTTCCATTAGGTAAAGTTATTAAGCAGCATGGGATTGTCACAATCCTCAATGTTTAGACCCATATGCAGGCAGGCGAGCGAGGCAGGAGTTTAAAATAAAAATAATTTATTTTAAACAACAAAACAAAAAGGATGACATGGCAGCAAAAAACTTACAAATGAAGATCAGGCAGGCAAATAGGACGGGTTCAGATTCAGGGAGATAATAAGACAACAGGAACAGAGGAGGACTGCGATGTCTGTACAAGACAGAAAAATGACCGGACGAAGAGTGGAGGAGAGAAAGGCTTTTTATAAGACAGAGGGAGAGTGAGTAATGAGAGCACCTGGGCAGGTGGCTGATGAGACGGGCGGGTGTGAGTGATTAAGACTGAAGAGACTGGAGAGGCAGACTGGAGTGAGTGGAAAGTGACAGAAAACAGAAACAGAATCACACAAAATTATAACGAGCAGAATGACATAAATACAATAAGCAGAAAAGGCGAAGACAGAAATACCAGACAGCTGGGGGACAGACTGTGACAGGGATAAATGTTCATTGTTATGCTGATGACACACAGTTATATTTGTCCATGAAACCCAATGAATCCAATCAGTTACTTGGACTACAAGCATGTCTTAGGGTGCATTCACAGCGGCCCTGTTTAATCACTTTAATCGAACTCCAGCTCGTTTTCCTAGGAAGTCCGGTTCGTTTAGGGAGGTGTGAACGCGCCATCGAACTCTGTCACGGAACAAAAAGACAACTTCTGGCCCGGGCTAAAACCTAGGTCTGGGTCCGGTAGAAGAGAACTCCAGTGGTTCCAGTACAGTGTGAATGTAATCAGACCGGGTCCCGCTCCACAGGACAAACAAACACACATTTCTCTCATATGGAGCCGTCAGCTGACTTGTGTGAAGAACAATATTCTCCATGGTCTTCTGTCTCATCTTCTGCTCATGCTGAGTCCATTTTTCAACAATGGACTCAGC